TGTAACGGTCATTGACAGATGGTTGAAAGTGGCCGTTGGCTTATTGAAAGTACAGCCACTGATTGGTCAGCAGACAATCATGCCACACGGCATGATTTGCATAAGACTATAGCTTGGGAATCACAGATTTGCATAATGTTACAGCTGGTGATCACTAATTGGTCGGCTGGGAATCACGCCACATCACATTTGCATAGTGCTATGGTTCAGTAAGCACTAGCTGGTCATCAAGCCCGATGTCGACGCTATGAAAAGGTTAAATTGAAGTGAGAGTGGGAAGTCCACTCCAGCACAGGAACTTCATAAGTTCACTTCGGTTTGTGACTTTGGTTTTATTTAAATTCAGTTCGACACAACCAGATATATGCCACTCTCATCTAAGTTAGACTTGGGAATTTTTTTGTTCAACAATAAATGTGAATTCTTCTTCGTGGAAAAATAAGACCTAGCGCATCTTTAAGAGCAAAAATTAATATAAGACACTGTCTTATTTTCAGAGAAACAGGGTAGTCCTGCTCTAAATAAGTCTTTTCTTCAGAATTTTCTAAATTATTTAATTAAAATTCAACTTTATTTGTAATTCTTAATCTAAGAACTTAACTGTCCAAAGATCAGTTAGGTCAAATTCCATACTTTAATGAATTAATAATCATCTTAATTCTAGTCCATAAATAATCTGGCTTTTAGATACATTTGGCTGGACATATGAAAATAGAAAGAGTACCAATCTTAGCTTTTAATGGATTTATGGTATTAAACTTATTTGTTTGTACAAGATTCCCAGATGTTCAAGTATAAATTATTTCTTTAAATCAAGGATCAATGATTCAGTGCCTGTGGTACATTTCAGATGCACCCTCTAGAACCATAGTCACACAAGTGCAAATAAATATACTTGTAATTTTCATTTTTATTAAATGCATGTATTTCATGTGCTGTAAGCTAGAACTTCTTAATAATATTATATTACAAAACACCTTTCTCACTTTTTCTATCTGAAATAGCTGAAAATGTTAGTTCATTTAAACTAAAAATTTGCTAGAAAAAATGAGAAAAAACGTCAAAACAATTATTTTATTTATTACGACATTGTGATTTTTTTTTAAAGATTAAACTATGCACCCTTGATGGTTTTTAAAATTTTTATTGCATCCTTAGGAACAAAAATGTTGCCAACCTCTGCTATAGGATCATTAAAAACTGGACTAACTATAAAATCTATTCTTTGTAGGATTTTAACAAATGAGAAGTAAAAATATCAATAAACAAATAATTAAGTAGTTCAGTTAATATAATATAAATTCATTCAATCACTACACTCAATCCTATTACTTAGATATTCAGATACAGTTATAAACTGTATGATGATAACATATATTTTCCACAGCACAAAATATTCCATTTTTGTAATCAGCTGATATGCTGAAAGACAACAGCAACACATTATTTAGTCAGAAATGCAACAAAAAAAGATAGAAAAAGAATAAATACTGGGAGAGGAGACAATAAAAGAAAAAAGGAAAAATCTTCATATTCACAATCTACGAAATTAATTGAATTTTTCTTGACTGTCTTTAGATTTGAACACTAATTTTCATAAGGCTGCACTATCAAAAGAACTTACTAAATATATCTTTAGATTCATGATTTGTCATCAAGCTTAAGAGTACATTAGTATCATACACAGTGACAAAATGTTATTGAATACACAAATTCTTATCTAGCATTTTAATCATATTCCCAAGTTTTGCTTTTAATAAACAAACTAAAACTACATTATTCTTGTCTTATTTGACCTTCTATCTTGCTAAATCTTATCATCCAGAACATTTTTATAAAGAATTATTAAAAACTTGTATATTTCCTGATCGTTATGCTGTAGGCTAAAGTTAAATTGATTTTAAATTTAAAGCAATTTCATATTTTCTCCATTAAATTTCTCAACTTTACAATAAATAAATATTTAAAAAATTGAATGGCTAAATTTTATCTTGATTTATAGTTATTAAGTATTTCCAATCTCTCTATTATGGAAAAAAAGTAAGTGACCTTCTTTCTTAAAGCATGTTTTTGAACACACTGTAATTAGGAGAGAGGAATAACAATTGACTTACAATTATGATAGTAGTGGTCAATATAGCATTGAATTTTTTGTATTCATTTCATTTGAAAGTGGAATAAATGTGTACAAAATTCATGAACTTCAATGCTACTTTTTTTTTAGGTAAATAAATGTAAGTAATAACTTATATCAGAACTTAACTCTTTAAAAATTTTTTTCTCTTGTGAGAACAATTTACTTTCAAAATTATTGATGATAATGATTTTAACAAAATAACGTAATTAAAAAGTTTTTTTTTAAACTATAAATGTCTGATCAAATGAAAAACAAACTATATATAATTGTGTGCTGTACCATGTTAAAAAATTTAAGATTTGCTTTAAATCACTTAAGCCAATCTTTGAAAATTTTCAAAGATATCCATGTAATACAAATCATTTTCAGTTTAACAGCAACTATTGTCCTGTATAGCTTTAAATTTAAATAATCTCCAGCAACAGAGAGACAAACATAGCTATCTTGGCAAAAGTTTTTGTTGTAGATTACTTTTTAACTGTGCTCATGTAATATCTTGGCTCTATGTATAATAATCCCATGTCTAAAATGCTGTTTGCTAAAAAAGTTAAGAATGTAAGAAAAAAATAAATAAAAATTACTGTCAGATTACAGTATCGTATTATAAAAGATTAATTTTTAAAAGTAGTATCACAATTTGAAAGAATTTACAATGCTGAGAGTAATCTTCAATTAACAGATTCAATCAACAGAAAGTTGTTGGAACTTATTATGATACTATTTATCATTATACCATACATTTGTATAATCAGAGATTGCTATTATTAAACAAAATTTGATTTTTAATGTTATTTGCTCTTCTTTTCTTTTTAACAAGTCTGAAAATGAACATTAAGAATATTTGGAAAATGATAAACAGCTTGACTTTTTAAAATCCACCAAATTTTTTAGTGAGTATAATCAAATATTCCAGTGATTTCTTCTTACTGTATAATACTTTCTTCACGTAACAATTATATTCTTGTCTCTCACTTACTTAACATTACTTACTTCATAAACAAAAATTTTATTAGTTTATTAAAATAATTATTCGTCTTTACTGAGGTATTACTGAAAATTACTCTATTACCTATCAAATGATACCAACTGCGAAATAGTGCAACAATTCCATACTTAAAATACAAATAATTCCAATGATAATGTAAATACTGATTTCTGAATTAACAATGAAAATTGTTTAATATTCTTAATATAAACATACTAAAAAAATTGTTAGATTTGTGTTTATGGCTTACAATATATAAGAATAAGGATGAATACAAATATTTGAGCATGTAAATAATCTTATGAAAAAGCTACTTTTCAGTAAGAATGGATTGGATTACTTAATATTCATTTTATAAGCTATACAGCTGGCTAGTTGTAACCATTGAGTTGGACCACAATAAGGTCAACAGTATGAATGAGGGATGCAAAATTATACCAAAACACATACTGACCATAATAAATTATGAGGGCCTTAAATGGATTCAAATCTGGATTGTCAAAGTGGTATACTAATATTTTACTATCTGGTCATCTGATTTCTCTCATGTAAATTCCCAGAAATGGGCAGTGTAGTTTCCATATTTTGCAAATTAAACATACTGTATGCATAAAATACAAATGACTAATGGAAATCTATTATCTCCTACATTCATCTCTTCTGATAAATTTTATATATAAAACAATTCCTATGTTCTAAAACATTAAACAATTTAAAACTTTATAAAGTTTTGATTATGTGAGTTGAATCATCTTGAATCTTACAGAATAACTAACTGATCATTAAAAATATGCTGATATTTGGCTGATATCCAGTCTAAATTAAGATTGAATTATGAAGACATTTTGACTTTCTAAATTTAATTTCATAGAATAATTCTACAATTGTTAACTGATAAAGAAACTGGAGTCTTTCTGTATCTATATTAATTAATTATGTTTGTTTATTAAGAGTTCAATATAAAATCCTTATTGCTAGATAAATACTTGTATAATATTTGATCATTAACAATAAAGCATAAAACAATAAATTAGCATAATTTTTCAACTGAATTAACCTTAATCAGATCAAACCAAACACAGAATTAAAAGAACTGTCAGTTAATTAGGCTAGATGGTAAGGGATGAGGCTAATATACCTAAGGGAATGTTTGTAAAATCAAATGAGTTACACAAGTAACTAGATGGTCATAAAGTACTAATTTTGTTCAATGTATATGCTCTACATTGCATACGAAACTCATCAATTCAAAATTTGCAAAGGAAAGAATTCACTTCATAAAAGAAAATGGCATACGATAACGCTATTTCTAAATTTGCTTAACTATACAAATTATGAATTAAAAGGAAAGATGATACAAATAACAGCCTATATGAAATGATTTGAGAAAAAACAATTTAGATACTATTCCACTAGCAGCAGCTCTAGAAATTGTATTTTATAAACAGATCGATCAAAATGTTCAGCAAAAGTTAGAACAGCGGTATTGAATGATAACTCATTTGACTTTACAAATGCATGCTAGTACAACCCACTCAGAAAAATTTGGAGTTGTCAACCCAGGGTCCCCAAAATGACAGGTTGACACCTTTACTGCCTCAGTCATCTGAATGTTGGAATAATCTCCCTAAATAATTAAATTCACTTAGAGCAATCCTATTTATTCAATGTACTGATAAAAAGGACCTCTGCAAGTGAATTAGCAATTTTTATGGTTAACTAGAAATATGGAGTCGAGTAAGAAAGATGAAAATAATTTCAATTAATTTAAACTATAGTGCAACCTTGATTCATTGGTTGTTCTGTTAGTTCTCTGTTTGGCCTTCATGTTTCTGAATATATTCTAATATATTTGGACACATTGTATATTAAACCTACCTTAATTGTCTCCAGGTCCATAGGATGTTTAATAACTTCGTGATAATCTGGTAAATCCAACAACTTCGCATCTACAGGCTTATAAAATGGCCACGCGTATCCCTAAAAAAATTTCATTATGCTAATCTTTCATTTATATTTAATATTTTTAAGGAAATCAATTTGGAAGCAGCTTTGAAATACGTAATAAGCTATGGAAACATACCATATTTGCTCGGATATAGGCCGCAGATGAATCTAAGCCGTTGTCCCCACCTTTTAGCTAGTAAATGAGAAAAAACAAACACAGGCATCTTAGTTGTAAGGCAGATCCTTTTATTATAATTAGCAAAGCACACATTACTACCCCGGCCAAGTCGTACTGTAGAAGCTCTTACCAAACACTAGCATTGAAAATGTTGTATGCAACGACTGTAATAATTTCCAGTTTATCAGTAGGCTTTTCGATTGCATAAAAACATTAAATAAATGTAGGATATGTAAGAAAAGACGATACATAAATCATTATTATTACAGTCCCTGATATTGAATTCTTTTCTAACAAGTACTATCAATAAAACTTCTCGTGTTTCATAATATAAAATATAACTTAAAAAAATTTAATATTCATGCATTATATATGAATGTTACGAATCAAACATATAGAAACAAAACTTACATTAAAACTTATAGTTAAAAATTAAAAATAAATAGTTTGAAAGATTAAAAAAAGTATTGTATTTGTTTTAAATTAATATTTTGTAAATAACAACTTACTTCTTTTTTATTTAAATTATAGCAAAAAAAGTTTTAAATGGATATATATACCTTAGATAAAAAAATTCATGTACTTTGAGTACTAGATACTTGTCAAGAATAGCAATTTCATTCAGAACTGCTGTTCCCAACAAGCTCTTGAATCTTCTCTGTAAGTTAGTCTGCTTTATTAAAACATTTTGTTATAATTTTACTTTGAAATGTCAAAATGTTATAATTCAATTTTGATAATAACAATTTAAGTTTAACTGACTATTCAATTGAAACTTTATATAAGTTAAAAATATTTCTACTGAATGCTTTGTCTAGCCAAGGTATCTGTAAGGAATATTTTCTAGCAGATCTTTTTCTTTTTATAGAGGAAAATGTTATAAAAAAAGTAACAGAGTAACTTTACTAAACAGAAGTTAACTTTCCACTTAAAAAAAGCAGGTAATAATGAACTTTTTTTATCTTTTGAAGAGAAAATTCATATTTACACAGGAATCATTAAACAAATACCTTAATAAAAACATTGAAAAACATTACATGGATAAAGTTATTGAAGATTTTTATCATTCTTAGCTAAAAAGTCATTATTTGAAAATATCTCTCTATATATTTTCAATTGCAATCTTCTTATAATCAGTAATAATCTTAATCATCACAAATGGTTTATACAAGTGTTTTGTTGCATATAATGAATAGCAGTGAGTATAAAAAATTGTAATGATAAAAATTTATTTTTAAAACAGTCCTGAGCATAATTTAACAAAGGAAGGCATTTTTATTTCATTGCTATTAGCAGAGACTTCTGTGACAGGCCATACATTTGAATAGAGCAAAAAATAATAACCACCCAGTAATACACTAGAGTAACAGTCTATTCAAAAAGAAAAGAGCTCATACAAGCAACATAAAATGGAAAACAGACAGTAAATTCACAGATTTTGTAAAATTTTAAACTGATTGCTTGAATATTAAAAACATTATCTGCTATTAATATGAAAAAATCTCAAATCATATAACTACTCTCTTACATTTTTAATTACAAATATTAAACAACATGTAGATCTATCTTCTTGCTCTACATGCATTAAAAGTCATTGTGTCCATAACAGATTAGGCTCACAATGAAGATGACTAGACAGAGAGGACAGACCCTAAAATAGCCAGGTAAGACCATTTCTGAAAATTTCTAGCTCTAACTAGAATTCCTCATATGTTGTTATAAAACAGAAGACCTATATTTTCAATGCACTAACCACCTTGCCATCAATCATCCTGATTTCAAACATAGAAAAGACATAAAAATGACATACTTTAATTATTTACTAAATAAATTTTTCAAGTCTCCTCATTAGAATATACTATTCTTGATATAATCTGAAACCTACTCGCAAAAATGGCATGTTTCTATTCTCTGTAAAAATCTGACACTGTCGAGTAACTGAGTGAATCTGAGCAAGTTTATAACAATGGAAATTTGTTAAGTTTCTTGATGTTTGAAAATCAAATAAGCAACAAATATCAAAGAGTATAAAGCTATATATATAAATATTTATAATAAAATAAATTGTAAATATTAATATTAAAAAAAAAAATACTATAAAAAATTAATTATATACACAAATTGTAAAAATTTATAATGTAAATTATGCAACTTCTTTTCCAAACTGCATCAAGAGCAGAATTTTGGCTGCGTCAATCATTTTTTAAAATGTACATCGATTTTCACAAATTCATTTATTTAATACAATAAATTTACATTATCTTTTTAACAATTTAATAAATTGTAAATTAATATGCATATATATTGCTTATAGACAAGATAAACATTTTAATCAATTGAAGTATATTTTTCTTTATTCTGGGAATTTAAACTTTAATGAATATTTTAGTGATAAAATATATATAAATATCAGTAGATAATAATGTTTTTTTCCCACCATTAAATTCTCATTCATTCATTTTAAATAAAATTTCAATTAAAATTAAAGCAAATTAATTCACCAGATGACTCAACACGAAATTTAACTTGACAGTTAAAATCTAATGGATTTTTTGGAAAATAAAATTTACATGGAAAGTGTCAACTTAACGTTTAAAAGCAGTCATTCCTAATAAAAAAAAGTCAAGTGCTTTGTACCATTTCAAATGAATAATATATAAATTGAAAGTGCAGCAGTGCTTAAATGAAATTTAAATTATAGACTAGCATTATAGAATAAAACTATGATGATATTCTGAATTTTATATAAATATGTACTTCTCTAAAGACAAACCCAAAAACATTCAGGACTTATGTTTTGCATCATTTCACTCAGTAAAAAAAGCAAAATCAATACTGTGCTGTATTAAATTTTCATTACAGATTTCATTAAACGTATTGTTTTTTAGTAATTAGTTCCACAGAATAATTTTAAAATAAAAATTGAATATATATAAACAAACACTTTAATGTAGTTTCTCCAATTTTCAATGTAAGATAAATACAATAACTATACATTTATATGCAGATTAAATCAAAATGATTTTAAACTTTTACATGTGGAGAATGAATGAGCATACTTCGAATATAAACCCATGTAGTTTCTGTAAATTATGTAGCTATACACACAAATATCATTATTACTTCAACTTACTACCATTTTTTAATATAAGCTAGTTTAAAATATAGAATTATCTTTCATGATAACTTAACACAATGAATTTAGTGTAAATTTCTATTGATAAGAATGTCTATTATAGACAGTTAATTATTGATGTTATGTTTTGATATTCATTTTATTAATTTAGAAATTATTATTTTTTGTTATATTCATTAAAACATTTGTCTTCATTAAAATCTATGAGAGCTGGACAAATAAAGTTAATTTTATTTAATTATACTTTATAACTTCTGTTTTTGTGGGTCAGCAATAGAGCTAATCTATAGTTATAGTATCATGGAAAAATATTACTTTATGAGTTAATAAAAATGAAGACAATACCAATTATGAAATAATAAAATGTCATTCATTAAAATAAATCAATTAACCTCATCTATTTCCAGTAAGAAAATTCATATTGTTAGTTTTTTGTATTATTTTTCTTAAATCTTATGCAGTAATTCATGAAAAATTCAGCTGAATGTTAAGTATTAATCAAGGTTTTAGCAAAAAAATTTTCTTGTAAAAATAAAATTTGATGATTAAAATCATGCAAAATAAAAAGCAAGTTAGGTTAATGATTGACTTTTACTTAACCAAACATTCTTTCAAATGCATCACATTATCCAAAACAATTATTATATACTGATATTTTATTATTATTTTACCAGTTTCAATAACTATATATATCATGTTATATTATTAAATATGTAGAATTCATACTTATTTATACAACATGAAGAAATGTTTTTTTTTTCTTAACTCAAGGTAATCATTCCTTAATTTTTGTTTTGCTTTATAAATTTCCAAAATGCAATAGTGCAGCAGTGATTTATGCAGTTTCATTTCATAAAATTTTAAAACAACAAACCTTAAATCTATACATTGATATTCTAACTATTACATGCCAACTGCAAAATGCATTATTTGTGATAAATCTTGTATTAATATGATAACTTAAGTAAAGGTTACGAAATATTGAACCAATGCTGGTCATCTTGTGATGAGTTGCATCATTCATGTTATACTCTATTATGCCATCTACTGATAAAAATGAAAAAAGGAAAGTAAACTGTTTCTTTCAATGTCAGCCACTGCTTTGTGCTGTTAGAGCTTGTAAGTGTTATGTCAACAATTAACAGTACATTATGTCCAAGATGTGCAAGTTGACATGTAAAGAAAAGAAATTCAACAAAGTCTGAATATGCCACAAATTTCTCAGAAATTAAACTATTCCCATTCCACTGTTGGTTGTAACATTGCAAAGATTAAGATATTTGGAAATGTGAATAATTTACTCTGTAGTGCATGGCTACATACATGGCTACATACCAAGGAATAACAAAAGTCTTTATTGTTTGAGCCCAAAATATTGATCTGTTACATCTGAGAAAGTGACAACAGAGTGGAAAGTATTAGCAGGAATGGTCACAAGTCCATGTATTGTTTGCAAGAGGATCTGCAAAGCAGGAATTTTAATATGTAAAACAAGGAATAAAGGTGGCAAGATCGACATGCACAAAAAGCATTACAATTGAACAACAGAACAATGGCAATGCATCAGTTTTCAAATGAGAGCTGTTTCTCATTATTCTAGTAACCAGTCCCAACTTGTACAATGCAAAATAAATATAAGATATTTTTCAAAATGCCTTGAGGTCCATAAAATATGCTCCTTCAATAATATCAATAATGATTTGAGTGCAATCACCTCCAATGATAATGGAGGCATTATTTCATGGATGGCACACTGAATTCAAATCAGTATGAAATTGTTATAGAATGTCATTTCATCAACATAGCCAGAGATATATATGAATTGGAATCATCTACTTTCTAATGATTTGGCACTCTGCCACATCTCCAGACAAGTAAGTGTACATTTCTGGTTTTAATGGTATTTAATATTTTTAAAATATTAAACAATTGCCTGGCAGTTCACTCTTCCAAATGCAAAAAGCATTCTCAGAACGGGAAATAAAACTGCTGGATTGGTCTGGATATTTACCAAGTCTCAACCCAGTTGAAAATGTATGGAATCCCATGGCTCTTGGAAGTTCAAAAAGCATGATCTTAACAGAACAGGGACTGACAAAAAATATTCATATATTGCACCATAATATTAGTCATGATATTATTTAAAGATTGACAGCATGCCAAAGAGAATTCAGACTTTTATTTAAGAATGTCACAAAATATTAATGGATACAATGTATACATTAATGTATTAGTATCTTTTTTTCCATAAATATTATGTATTAATTTTTATTTGTTTAGTAATCATCATCAAGCATATCCTCAAAATAAGCTTCTGCAAGAGTAAGAATAACTTGTAGATTGTGGATAACAAATATAATGTTTAAAACTATTCTGAGAAGATTGTAGTGAACTGAGCTTTATAGCTCTTATTTTCCTCCTATATTAATTGCTTCTTAGCATTAATACATTATCTCCATCATAGGTTAGACTTAATTATTATCATTCTGTTGATTCAGATAAATTCAGAAGTGAATACTTTAAGAAATCTTGCTATACAAATAAAAATTAGAATAATTCAATATTCATAAGTTGTAAAAAACGATATTGACCAATAAATGATAGAATCAAAATACTGCAGTGAGTGATTTCTTGCAATATATGATATTAGTACCTTTTAAATAAATTATTTCTAAAATGTCTAATTCTGTAATGCATCTGTTTAACAAACTTATATTTTCATTACAAAACAATATTTTTTCCTTTTACTTTTTTAATGAAAATAACAAATGAACAATATTTTTGATATAGCTTCTAAACAATCAGCAAATACCAATGTAAGTATTCTTCCAAGTGAGCAAAAGAAGCCTTAAATTTAAAATTCAAAACAGAAGATTAAAGTATGATCAGAACACTATCTTTATTGAGAGTTCTTTTGGTTTAGATAAAAGCATATATTTTCCAACTCATAATAATGCAGGAAAAAAATACATAAACCATGGAAGCTGGGAAGCTATCTTTTGGCCCAAAATGTTCAATATCTTTACAATCTTCACTTAATAGTCAAAACAAAGAGGAAAAGATAATGTTAGCAATGTTGTTGGCAGGGCAAAAGAAGAGAAATAACTCAATTATCCAACCAAAGATCTGTGTTAAGTCTATGATCTACGAAAATCTGGAAATTATACAAAGAAAATGCTGCTATATTTTTGTGATAGTCTAAGATAATTGCATTTCTTTTTAAAGTCAAAAACAGTGACAACATCACATCTTATTCAGCTTAAAGCTAAGTAGATGCATCTGTTCACATATAAGTATCAAAATATTTTTATACCAAACTGTATGAATTGTTAAAAACTGTAATTATCTTCAAAAGAAGTTTTTCAATGTTGATGAAATTGGATTTTAATAAGCCTTAACCATTAAAGTTTGCTTTACCATCATCTTAGCACATAATACTGTAGAAAACAGTCTCATTTTATTTACCATATTATTGAAAATCCAGGAATCTTGTAGGAATTTAAAACTGATTTCTTTTCTCTGTCCATTGTTAGTTATGCCAATAGGAAAGGCTGGATAACAAATATAATGTTTAAAACTATTCTGAGAAGAATCTTCATTTTCAACTGAAACAATATTTCTCTATTCACAGTTCTGTTTAAGATCCTGATGATTTCAGACAATGCCAATCTTCCCATAACAGTTCAGGCATATTCTCAAATTAATGATAATCTATTTACCATCAAATACAATCTACTTTTTAAAACCAATGAACCAACACATAATTAAATATTTTGAATGTTGTTATAATGTGGTACCATAGCCAAGGAATATCAAAAGATTTTCAACATTGAAGATGCTATTAGTATTATAATTTGCAAAATTATCTTTTTAGAAAGTATTCAATACATTGCATTAATGAATTATAAAAGCTTTCTTTACAGTTTTGTGCTGTATTAATAAT